TTCAGTTCTAGTTCAGTTCTAGTTTCAGTTCTAGTTCAGTTCTAGTTCAGTTCTAGTTCAGTTCTAGTTCAGTTCTAGTTCAGTTCTAGTTCAGTTCTAGTTCAGTTCTAGTTCAGTTCTAGTTCAGTTCTAGTTCAGTTCTAGTTCAGTTCTAGTTCAGTTCTAGTTCAGTTCTAGTTCAGTTCTAGTTCAGTTCTAGTTCAGTTGTACTTCAGTTATAATTCTATTCAAAATCAGCATTGTAGCACTCTGGCAAAGTGGCTCTAGTCTAATAAATCTTATTTCTAAAGATACGCAGATATGCGGATAATGCTGTTAATTTTAAGAAAACAGTATATTGTATTTGTGAAAATTGGCAACTCTATGGTATTTTTTTTTATTATAATAAATTATAATTTAATATAACTATTTTTAGATGGAAATAAATTTAATGCAAAATTTTATTTATTTTTATATGTTGCAACAACTCTAAGCATCATGCAACTTATGTCATTTAAGTATAAACGACTACATTAATTCAAATGCACACAATTGACACACTAATTTAGAAAAGGAAAAATACTTGAAGAAAACAAAACTAAAAGAAAATTATTCAAAAGTGTTGTGAGTGTGTTTTTCAACAAAACAGTTGCAGTGATATTTTAATGTAAAACTCGTTAATTTATTTCAGCTTGTGATTTTCTAAGAATAAATTAAGAATTCGTGGAAAAGTTTTTATTTGTATTTGAAATTTAAGTTATACAATTATACAATATGTAGCACAAAGTTAATATAATTTTTTCATTTATACTAGAAATACGTGTTTTAGTAATATTTTGAATTTTTATTGAAATTTAAAAATTTTGTTAATTTTTGTTAAAATTTTTCTAAAAAGTTCAATTTTAAGAAATTAAAGATCTAGTTAAAATTTTGATTTAAAATTAAATGATAGTTTGAAATATAAAGCTGTCGATTCGGTTCTTTTTTGTATAAGTATTAAAACCTGTAGGTTGACTATTAATTCTTAAAAGCGATGTTAGTGTATTTCTGTTCATTTTTCTTTGCCAAAAATATATATTTTGTCTATATATAAAAAACACAACAGAAAATCTATCTCATCTACCTTTTTGCTTAGGATACCATAAGACAAGTCGCTTGTTTTTGTGTTATTTTAATTTTCACTCGCATATTTATTAAAACATTTCTATTTTCATGTCTTCTTTTTTATTCGCTGGTTCGTCGGTTCATGACAGAACGCCTACGCAATGTAGAATGTTATAAATAGTTGAATTTTGCTTTCTTTTTATATTTCGCCAGTTACTAAATTTAAATAAAGAGAATCTGAGGAGAATGCTTTAAAAGTAGATACAAATGAGTATCTAAATATTTGTGTATAACAGTTGAAATTGCATGCATCAACATGTTTGTAAAATTTTTGTTTTCCTCAGATAAATACAACTCTATATGTTTTATTTTATGAAGGGTCAGTATAGTATTTTGTGAGAATAAACAGCTTTCCTTTGGACCAATTTTATATATAAAGAGAGTGATAAAGAGAGTAATTGAGAGTTTGTAAGTCATACAGAGATTAAGGATTATTGTAGTTGTATTTAATGTATTTACGTTAAGTTGTTTTTGTTTTTATTTTTCTTTATATAAATACAAACTAAAATAACATGTTGCTCCTTTAGTTGTGAAAACTGAGGTTGTATTCGAAACATATACATATATGTATGTATATATGTTTTTGTACACTTTCAATCAGGGAATATACCTGCAGTTTTACAAGAACTCTAATATCCCATTTATATAGAAGTTTCACCTATTATATCTGTTTTGTGTTATAGAATTTAAATGTTTAGTTATGTTTGCACACCCTATAAGATGGAGGGGAAATCAATCAGCCCCCTTACACTGTTTCCCTTAAATATTCAACCTAGACTAACCACAAATTCCTGGTCGTTCCCACGACAATTGGATCTTCGCTCCGGAACGACCCGAGTCATGCTCGGCCAAAGATTGTCAACCCAGCGACAGCTGTATCAACCGAAAGTTTTTTCCCCAGGAAAGAACTATCGGCCACAGTCGAACTGTTACAACAACAAATTCCTGGTGACATCAATAATTTGTGACAGTCTCAACGACTTACAGGGTATTTTTTGATTATTTTGTTGGTTGTTTAGTTCAATTTCTGTACTAATCATACATGTGTGTATGATTGTTTCAAATGTAGGGCGTTTAAGTTTAATCAATAATTAAAGTATAATTTTTATATAGAAGTCTCATTGATACATAAAATGTTTCATAGTTGGAAAAAGTTATAATGAGAACAAGGAAGACCTTGAAAAAAATAGGTTGATATGATACTAATGGGTTTTGAGTTTTAATCTCCCAAGGAATTTTAAGTGTTCAGTTGCAAGTAGACACTTTATAATCGAGATTGGATTAGACTAGACTATAGTCCAGACTATAGTTCAGATTTTAGTCCAGATTTTGGTTCAGGCTATAGTCCAGACTATAGTCCAGACTATAGTCCAGACAATAGTCCAGTCTATAGTACAGTCTATAGTCCAGACTATAGTTCCGTTTACAGTTCCGTCTATAGTCCAGACTATTGTTCCGTTCATAGTCCAGACTATAGTCCAGTTTATAGCCCAGACTTTAGTCCAGAAAATATTTCTGTCTATAGTTCAGTCTATAGCCCCGACTATAGTACAGTCTATAATCCAGACTATAGTCAAGACTATAGTCAATACGATAGTCAATACAATAGTCAATACTATAATTAAGATTATAGTTAAGATTATAGTCAAGACTGAAGTCAACAATAGTAATGACTATTATAAGACTTTAGTCCAGACTACAGTACAGTCTATAATCCAGACTATATTCAATACTGTAGTCAATACTATAATCAAGACTATAGTTAAGACTGTAGTCAAGAGTATAGCCCAGACTATAACTAGACTATAGTCATGACTGCAGGCCAGACTATATTCAGGAATATAGTCAAGACTATCGTCCATACTATATTCAAGACATAAGTCAGACTATAGTCCAGACGATAGTCAATACTACAGTCAAGACTAAAGTCCACACTATAGTCTATATTATAGTTCATATTATAGTCCATACTATAGTCCACTCAATTGTCCACTGTATTCTCCATTCTATTGTCCACTCTATTGTATAGACTAAAGTCCAGACTATAGTATATACTATAGTCCATACTGTAGTCTATACTATAGTCCATATTATAGTCCAGCCTATATTCCACTATATTGTGCACTCTTTTTTCCACTGTATTGTCCAGACTATAGTACAGAGTATAGTCCAGTATACAGTGCATTATCTAGTTATGTTTATATTCCAGTCTTTAGTCTAGTCGATATTCCCCTCTCTAGTCCACTTTATAGTTCAGTCAGTTCAGTCTATATGTAGTACACATTATAGTTCCATCTATAGTCTAGGATTTAGGTTCATCTACTGTTCAAACAAATCTATATATCAAAGATAAATTTCATTAATATTAAGACAATTAGCCATAAATAAATCAAAAATTTAAGTGAACCTAATATTGATATTAAGATACAATTTGATATATAAATTTCTGATGTCCTTAGTATAGGTAGGTAGGTAGGTTGATAGGAGGATGTATATTACATCAAATCCGAAGAAATACACCTAGGCCACTATCGGGCCTATTGTGCGCTCCTTATAATGAAAAAAAAAGGAACTGAATGAATTATTTTTCAGTGTTAATAAACTCAGTTTCCTGTACGTAATTCCTAAGAATCTTCCAATCAGTGTTAGTCAGGAATGCTATTTCCAGAATAACATCACTTCCATGATACTTGGATCTAACTTCGACGGATGCCTGGCAGTGGCAAAGAAAGTGCTCCTGAGTTTCACTGTCCTCTCCACATGCTCTACATTCGTCTGAATCCGCATATATTTGCTCGTTATCCTGTGTGTCCACTCAGAATACGTACCATCATACTAACTTCAGACTTGCTCATTTTGAGGAGATTTTTCGTGGTTAACTGCCTCGAGCTCCTTATCTTTTAAAGCTATTACATTCGCCCTTTCGTTACCGACTACTCCCGAGTGGGCTGGTACCCATATGATGTGAACCTTACCTCTAAGAGAGTATTCAGTTAAAGTTTTCTTACAATCCAATACGGTCTTAGATTTAGTTCTATCGCCTGATATCGCCCTAATTGCCTTCTGGCTGTCGGTAAATATATAGTATATTACATCTATAGTCATCATAGTGCTCTTTCCTTAAAATCAGATAAAAATTTAAAATCTCTCAAGCTTTAAACAAAATTTACTTACTGTTTTAAATTTTCCAAGAAATTGTTATATTAAAATTATAACTAAAATCAATTTATTGTAATTTTTTAATTAAATTTTTTTTTTTTTTGCTTTTATTCAAAGATTATATCATTTTCTTTTTTTTTTTTAATCGTTTACTTTTTGGTTCAGGTTTTTTTTTTCTTAAATTTTGTTTGTAATTTTTATAAATTTCGTTTACTTTAATGATAAACAGGATTCTTTTTTATAATATTTAGACATTACAGAGAATTTGGGAAATATTTTGGTTTCTTTTGTTTTAAATTAGTTCTTATTTATACTACTAACAAAAAATAAGTTAATTTATATTTTGTTTAAATTTAAATTAAAAATTTTCCTTTGATAATTATTTTTATTTTATCACTTAAGTAATTAATTTTGTTAATTAAATATCTACATAATTAGGACTCTTGACTACATTTGTGTTTTTTTTTTTTAGATTTATTTGTTATTAATGGTGGTTTGTTAGGTTCATATTCAATATTTGGTTTTAATATTTTTCATACTCTAAAAATTGGCTTCTTTTTTTAATGTTGTACTTTAATATTCCAGTTTCTTTTTTAATTTGTAATGAATGTTTTTTAATTTAAAATTTTAGTCAAATTTTTGTAATGAGCTGTTAATGTTTTAAAACTTAAACGTATGTATATTGTTACAGAATTTTATTTTTGATTTTATTAGATTTTTAATTTACATTTATTAATAAATTTTGCTTTTGTTTGCTTTGATTTTAAGTTGCATAAAATTTTAGCAAATATTTGTTTAAAATTTTGAGTAATTTTGATTAAAATCTGCTTTGTTTAACAAATGTTAACTTTAAATTGAAATGAATATACTGTTCTGCTTGTATAAGGACTTTTTGTTCTGTAATTTGTACAGGATCATAAGCCAACTTTTGTGAATGTTATTTAGAAAGTAAGCCTCCAGTTGAGCTAGCAAGATAGATCCTGTTTTATATTTGTAATGAGAACATATTTTGAAAATTATTTGAAAATTTTCGACAAAAAGTTATAGGTTTGTAAAAAACGAAAAAGTTTTTAATGTTTGTTAAGTATGTTTCTTAAAATTCTATGTTAATTGCAGTTTTTAACATTCCTTACCTTGAACTAATTTGTTTTTCAAGTCAAATATTTCAAATTCTTTTATGTAATTGATATGATTTTAATTCTCTATCAAATAGAGTTTAAATCTCAGTAAAGAAAACAAGGAACTGAAAATTCTAATTGATGTTACCTTTAATTCAAACAAAATTAAAGGGCTTAAATCATGGACATAGTCCTACTTTTGTCTAATGCTGTAAGACTTGAGATAATGTTTAATTCTGGCTAAAAACATGCCGTAATGGATTTCCAGATCTTTAGCTTTAATTTATTTTATTTTCAAATATTTTTTCGCTCATTTTCTTCTCCACTGTCTAGTTTTTGTTATATGAAAAATTTGTTTGTGGTCAACACTACACACTATAATGATTTCATAGGATCGGGTTGCAGGATAAGGTGTTCATATGCAAATTTTGTTGTTTTTTGAATGCTCTATAAACCTGACCTCTAATCGGAAGTGTGAAGTGTCATAATTTGCTATCATTCTAAAATATAAAATAGCCAATAGCCCAAGTTAAAGGCTAGAAAGCTAACAGGAAATACCATACGTGAATATTTATCAATAATATTGACATCTTTGATTTTGGGTATGGTGGCTTTAATGGCAGATGCACCCTTTTTGATGGCATGTAAGACACGAGGTTTGTTGCCTGCAAGGAAATAAACTACATGGTAGTTATGTTATTTAAAATACTTGATTATCTTTGACTTACCCCTTTGACCTCTATAGCGTAAATTTGAACGACTTGTGGTACCATAGTTACGTGCAATTCTAAAACTCGGTGGAAATTTAGCTAAATCCAAAGTTTCGGCACCCACTTGATTAAATGTTGTATTATAGTTACCCTTGCGCAATGATGGTATAGGACTCATGCGCACATCTTGTAATTCAATAATATCTTCGGCAGTTGAACAGGTTTCGGATTTATCAGGTTTCCCTGAAATGTTAAGGGATACGAAATGTTGTGATTTTTAATCTTCCACTCTATTATTTGCTTAAAAAGTTTATTTTTATAGAATTTACCTGATCTTTTACTATCGCCATCTTTACTCTTTTTCACTTTCTTCTTGGCTCTTTTACCCCAATAGGTATAATTGACGGCTGCATATTCTAAGAGAGCAGCAAATACGAACACAAAACACATGACCAGATAAATATCTATGGCTTTAACATATGATATCCTTGGTAAGGAACTCCGTACACCAGTACTTATGGTAGTCATTGTAAGAACAGTGGTGATACCTGAAGGGAAATTTAACAAATACCATTCATATTAGTTATAATATAAACGTAAATTCATCTCTCATATGACTTTAATCTAGTCAATAGACATTTCATTAATACAATATCGAATCTATTTATTTAATGACCTTTATTTTAACCCTTTCAACGTCGTGAAATCAATGACTATATATCAACATTTTTAACTAGGTTCGTTCTCCAAATGTAAGGGTAACTGTATAGTTGATGAATAAGACAGCCCGCCGTTCCTGTCTAATTTATTCTATTCGATGAGACTTAATGTATTGAGGCTGGGGGAAATAATGTGTCAATTTGTGTCATTTTTGTCCTTGGTACAATGTTAAATCATTTCATTGAATTATCTTCAAAATTGTAATCTGAAGTTTGATTACAAGGTTCACATGTATGGACGGATGAACAAACAGATATATGGACGGACGGACGCAGTTACATATAATTAAATAAGATTCTTCAAATTATTTAAAAATGTGTAAGAATAGTAGTTTTTATATAAATCATAATACAATTTTAAATAAAATTTCGATTTTCAATACATAATATTTTTGCATAAAAGCCTTCTGTACATATTACGTATGAGTGTTAACTAATTATTAAAATTAAAAACCAATCATACGCCTCCAGTTTCTTTCGAAAAAAAATTGTGATCATAAACACTGCGTATGAGTGATAACTAATTATGATGATTAAAAATAACAAGCATACGCCACTAGTTTCTTCAAAATTGTAATCTGCAGTTTGATTACAAGGTTCACATGTATGGACAGATGAACAAACAAATATATGGACGGACGGACGCAGTTACATATAATTAAACAAGATTCTGCAAATTATTTAAAAATGTGTAAGAATAGATAAAATTTTTATTTTCAATAATTTTTTTGCTTAAAAACCTTCTGGTAATATTACGAATGAGTGTTAACTAATTATTAAAATTAAAAACCAATCATACGCCTCCATTTTCTTACGAAAAAAATTGTGATCATAAACACTGCGTATGAGTGATAACTAATTATGATGATTAAAAATAACAAGCATACGCAACCAGTTTCCTTTAACAAAACAACTTGTTTTAAACAGAAAACAAATTAAAGTCCATAAAAATTATTTAAAACTCACCTAATGCAACACGAGCACTAGTTGCTTCGTGATTAATCCAAAACGAAACCCAAGACAGCATTACAATTAAAATGCTCGGTAGATATGTTTGAAAAATAAAATAACCAATATTACGCTGCAACTTAAATGATAACGACAAACGCTGATAAATACCCGTCGCTAAGCGTTCTTTGCGATCATTGGTCTCATAACCAATTATAGTAAATTGCGGCAGCTCAGCATCTTCTACACCCCGCACAGGTGTAGGTTTCCAATACATTACCACATCGCTAACGGTGTAGCCGTCTATAATAAAAGTAATTTAATAAAAAAAACTCTTGGGACTTATGGTCACAATTTGTACTTACAACTTTCAATTTCCACCGTGCAATTTTGTGAATCTAATGGATAGTAATGCAAATCCATCATACAGGCTAAAGTGGTGGTAAAACGCATACCATACGTTACGGAGCCATCACCGCCCAAACGTACCAGTTTGTTGCGTTCCGTTACATCGTGTAAAAAACTAGTTAGAAAGAAAATATTATTTCATTTAAACATGTTTAAATTTAAACACAAAAGGAGAAGATTCTTTGAAAAAACTAAATTTGTTGTCAATTTCTTCTCTGTTCATAGTTTGTATTCTCCATAGATTTTTAGTTGCTACAACTAATTTAATTTTCATTGTGAATCTTTGTTGTTATCTGTTTGTTAGTGTTTTTTTTCTTTTTTTTTTAAACATCGCTTGTCTCACCTGTTTTTGTCATTTGCAAAAAATGTATCCGGTACCCATATCTTTTCCGCAAAATCTCCCGACAGCGTTAGAACATCATTGACACCATCATCGTCAGCGTCATCATCATAATATGGGCCATAAGCATTAAATGCCAAACGTTCATCACGCCAATACTGATTCAAATACATGGTTATGGTATAGTCCTGAAACATACAAATACAACTATAAATTTATATTTGGAAATAAAATTTTTTTAATTGCATTTATCTACAGCAGAGAAAAAGAGGTTCTTAACACATTTCTTTAATTTTTTGTTTCTATTTATGTTTCTATATTAGAAAGGAAGACATTATATTTGTAAATAACTTCCGCTTTTAGTTTGCATAAAGGCATTCTTGTTGTTTGTTTGTATGTATGCATACTTTATTATATTTATTTGTATACATATTTATATAAATGTCCTTAAACATTTTGTTAGGTGTATCGTTGTGTATGTGTTTTTGTGCCTAGATTTGTAGGCGGTGTTTTAGTTTAGTTTAAGTTGTCTGCTTTTTATGTTTGTTACACTTTGAAACATTTTAGCTTATTAGTAAGGACAAACAGCACAGAAAAAAAGTTCAGTATACATATAATAGAACAAAAGTTTTTATTTTTAAAATAATTTTCTAATACAAATATTTGTTATTTAACAAATGGATTCTGGGTCAGAATTTAGTTTCTTTTTTAAGTTTTTAACTTTGAATTTTATTGAGAATATACATATTAAGAGATTGTATACATTTCTTCTATTGTATCGATTTTTGTTATAGATATATTTAGCTTATACAGAAGTAAGGGAAATCGATTAAACTTTCTGATATTATACATAATTAATATTTGAAATATCAACATTTTTGGCTTTTAAGTAACATCAAGTTTCATTAACAAGCCACAGGATACCTGACATATCTTCTTTCCTCTTCGAGTTAACTTCACCTAAAGCTTGATATAACAATAAATTGAGAAAAACTGTAATTTTTTATATATTTCGCTTTTATTTTACAAAAAAAAAAAAAAAAAAAAAAAAAAATTATTCCTATGAAAATACCTTTCGAATTGCTTTAAAATCTATTGTAGTTGCTGACATATCATTCGTTGAAGTTGACGGACGGACAGAGATCGTTAAATCGAATCAGAAAGTGATTTTTAATCGACTTGAACGTAGCTGTGGATTCTGTATTTTTGATGGTTATAATCAATATTTGCAAAGAACACACTGTAGTAACTAGTTAAGGTTAAAGAAATCATGAATATACCAATAACCATAAGTTTTCATGCCATCTTAAAGAAGGAAGAAGATATGTCGGAAAGTAAGCCTTTATTTTAAAGCTAATATAATGGACTTTCAGGCGGGGCATACAACATTTTACAAATAAATTTGTCTTAGAGCTATTATAAGGTCTCAAAAAGAGCCAAAAATAGCTTTTTCTGAAATTTCAGGACTCGATATTTCAAATCCCAGATATGATGCAGAAAATATGAGGTCAGATTATAATGCAGCGCTACTCAATCCTTTACTAACGTTCAACATGGTCTGAGGGTTTCGCCTTTTGTAAAATTTTGTCGGCCTGTGTAATCATTTTCAATATCAAGCAAAATACATCAATATTTAAAAGATATTTTTGTAAAATATTAGGTTTCATCTTCTGCGGAGAAGGCGCCTTTTTGCCTTCAACAGCCAGCCAGACAAACAGACAGACAGACAGACATATAGACAGACAGACAAACATACAGACAGAAAAGCAGACAGGCAAACAGACCAACGGACATGGCTAGATAGTCTTAGGATCTATCAGGGATCAGATTGTATATAGTTTCTGTATCTACAATCAATATTTTGCTACATTACAAACAGAATGGAAGATTTGTTTTACTTTGGAGTCTGTAGCCTTTATAAGAAGAGTGTAAACTATTACCGTCCATATAACATGATTTCTTAAACTTCAGGACGAAATTTTTAAAATACTTCCTTAAAAACACCAGATATTACATGAAAGAACATCAAAATCGGAATCACATTAATTATCTTTCATAAAATCTGTTAAAAAAAAAATTTCAAGTGCTTCTCTAAATTAGACGTATACTTAATATTTGTAATATCAATAAATCATTAACACGTATACGTACAGGTGTCGTTAATAAAAACAGTGCAATTTCACAATGTTAAACATAGAAAAGAAAAATTTGAAATAAAGTCTTTATGATTTTATATGTTCACAATTTTTGTTCTTTATATCTACAGCTACAACTTTGCCTCAGAAAATACATCAAAATTCCACAGAGGTCCCAAAACTTTGCGGGTAGACACAGGTATTTTTTTGGTATTTTATCACGTAGTGGTGTCCGTATATGTTTTATATTGGTACGATATCCCAATATTTGTCTTCCCAAAATTTAAGAAATTTGTTTAAGACAAACAAATTATTCCCTAAATATTACAAGCAAATACTCACCATATTAACTTCTGATATCGCATCAAAACTAGCAATTGTCAAGTCCATACCCACATGTAAAGGATCAGCTGTGAGCGTGAAAGATAAAACAAAAAAACAAACATTACTGAAAAAATCAATTACACAAACAGTAAAACCTTTAAATAAGATTACCTCCAAAATTCGGCCTTAATCGTATATCATAACCTTTCAATATCTTCGATATTGTCTGTGTAACATTCTCTAAACGGCCGGCCATCATTTCTTTTCGTTTACACTTGACGGGTGTTGTATAGAAGACCATAACTATTATTATTACTAAACTGTAGGCCACTTGTATGCCTACAGTTTTAAGCATTTTGTTAATGTTTTTTTATATTTTTTTTAAATATAAAAAAATTTTATTACTAAGCACTCAAATAGTAAATATTTCCATGGCGGCTAATGAGGCTGCTGTTTATATTGTGTGTTTTTTTTTTAATGATTTATTTGCTTTTTCGCTGTTGCCTTCTCTCTTTAGCTATTGTTGTTCTTTTTTATTACTGTAAGTAAAATATAATATATAAAATATTTATTTATATTTTTGTAAATATGTATAGAGGAAAATATATTGGTACTTGTATCTAAAATATGTTGAGAATCACACATGAGTATAATATAAATATTGCCATTGTATGGCGTTAAACAAAAGTTTATTCAACTTTTTGTTTTCTTACTAAAGTTCTGCCATGAGAAATTTTTCCTTGTCATTTAGAAAAAGCCATTTAGACGACATATGTATATTGTTTAAATAAATACAATGCACGTGTATTAATAATAATAATAATACTATTGCAATAAAGTAGAATCTATTATGATGGGTTTCTCAAGATTATCGAAAAATTCAGATTTTAGTGTAGAACTTTAGGCCCTTGCTTAGAAACTTTAATAAGTTTTTTTTTAGAATTTTTCTTATAGAACTTTATATATTGTTTTTAATACTCGTTTAGGAATTTTTGAATTAGTTTCAATTCCACTGTATTTTATTGCAATTTATATTATGTACATTTGTATTCTTGTTGTGCATAAAATGTGCATCGAAAACTACAAAAATATTATAATAAAATATAAAATAGAATAGATGAGAAAACCTTCAGTTAAGTGCATAATTGCGTTAAAGCTTTTTGGAGAAAGTGTAAAATTGAAATGGAAAACAAAAATAATAATTTTTAAAAATTACAGATACCATATGTCACTGTAATTTAAAAATGAGCTTACACAATAACTATGAATTTAATAAATGTCAGTGAGTAATTTTCACTATTCATTCCTAGATAAAATTACTATTCATTCCTAGATAAATTTAAAATTGCATCGAATTTATATGTGTATGTTTGGGTAACTTGATAATTGATAGATATCAATTGTCATTTCTGTAAATAGAAGTCTCTCTTATCTACCTGTAATAACTACCTAAGCTCAGTGTGTGATTTAATTTTTCTGATTCTTCTTCTTCATAACCTATAAGTATATATGGGGGATTTTGTGCCAAATGACCCAAATTTTGAAACCGATTTGTTAAAATGTCGTATTTAACCCACTGTAACACAAACAGTTTTTAAAAGTAGCCCCATATATATTGTGAATCCTATATAGTGAAGTTGATTTAGAGATCTAAATGGCCCTCTCCTATCGATCTGTATAATGAAATCAATTTTCTGAAGACAAGATTTTGAAACGTTTGCTATTGAATCATCAAAATCGGTTAACCAACAATAGAGACATGGATATAATTCTGAAAAACCCAAAGATTTTGTCTGTATGTCTATTAGTCTGTATAATGAAAACAATTTTCTGAAGAAATATCTTCGGCATTTAATTAATTGATAATTTTATCAGACAAGTTTTTGAGAAGTTTGGCAGTGAATCATCGAGATATGGACATCATTGTGAAAAGTCCAAAGATTTTTTCAGAATATTGATGCTATAATCGATATGTTTTGGATACGTAGTTAGTTAGTTAGTTAGTTAGTTAGTTAATTAGTTAGTTAGTTAGTTAGTAAGTTAGTACTAACTAATAGTTAGTTAGTTAGTTACTAACTAATAGTTAGTTAGTTAGTAGTTGGTTAGTTAGTTAGTTAGTTAGTTAGTTAGTTAGTTAGTTGGTTAGTAGTTAGTTAGTTAGTTAGTTAGTTAGTTAGTTAGTTAGTTAGTTAGTTAGTTAGTTAGTTAGTTAGTTAGTTAGTTAGTTAGTTAGTTAGTTAGTTAGTTAGTTAGTTAGTTAGTTAGTAGTTAGTTAGTTAGTTAGTTAGTTAGTTAGTTAGTTAGTTAGTTAGTTAGTTAGTTAGTTAGTTAGTTAGTTAGTTAGTTAGTTAGTTAGTTAGTTAGTTAGTAGTTAGTTAGTTAGTTAGTTAGTTAGTTAGTTAGTTAGTTAGTTAGTAGTTAGTTAGTTAGTTAGTTAGTTAGTTAGTTAGTTAGTTAGTTAGTTAGTAGTTAGTTAGTTAGTAGTTAGTTAGTTAGTTAGTTAGTTAGTTAGTTAGTTAGTTAGTTAGTTAGTTAGTTAGTTAGTTAGTTAGTTAGTTAGTTAGTTAGTTAGTTAGTTAGTTAGTTAGTTAGTTAGTTAGTTAGTTAGTTAGTTAGTTAGTTAGTTAGTTAGTTAGTTAGTTAGTTAGTTAGTTAGTTAGTTAGTTAGTTAGTTAGTTAGTTAGTTAGTTAGTTAGTTAGTTAGTTAGTTAGTTAGTTAGTTAGTAGTTAGTTAGTTAGTTAGTTAGTTAGTTAGTTAGTTAGTTAGTTAGTTAGTTAGTTAGTTAGTTAGTTAGTTAGTTAGTTAGTTAGTTAGTTAGTTAGTTAGTTAGTTAGTTAGTAGTTAGTTAGTAGTTAGTTAGTTAGTTAGTTAGTTAGTTAGTTAGTTAGTTAGTTAGTTAGTTAGTTAGTTAGTTAGTTAGTTAGTTAGTTAGTTAGTTAGTTAGTTAGTTAGTTAGTTAGTTAGTTAGTTAGTTAGTTAGTTAGTTAGTTAGTTAGTTAGTTAGTTAGTTAGTTAGTTAGTTAGTTAGTTAGTAGTTAGTTAGTTAGTTAGTTAGTTAGTTAGTTAGTTAGTTAGTTAGTTAGTTAGTTAGTTAGTTAGTTAGTTAGTTAGTTAGTTAGTTAGTTAGTTAGTTAGTAGTTAGTTAGTTAGTTAGTTAGTTAGTTAGTTAGTTAGTTAGTTAGTTAGTTAGTTAGTTAGTTAGTTAGTTAGTTAGTTAGTTAGTAGTTAGTTAGTTAGTTAGTTAGTTAGTTAGTTAGTTAGTTAGTTAGTTAGTTAGTTAGTTAGTTAGTTAGTTAGTTAGTTAGTTAGTTAGTTAGTTAGTTAGTTAGTTAGTTAGTTAGTTAGTTAGTTTGTTAGTTAGTTAGTTAGTTAGCCTCTATCCGTCCTATTGAGCGCTCCTTTACCAGTGCCTCAGGTAGGAATTGAACCCGTCACCTTCAGTCTACCAGACTATAACACTAACCACTAACCTACCGGGGTCTACTAAGGGTCCTAGGGTCGATAATAAATCGATCCTCTAACATTTGTTGGATTTGTAACGAACGTTTAAGTAATTTTTGTTGGTGATGGCCAATTATAGACTGATTTTCAAAATATTTTGTTATTATAAAACTTGTTTATCACTTTACAGATATTTTAAAGCCAGATTCTAACGTAAACGTAATTTTCTTAAGGTGGATCTTAGATACTGGGTTATGTCAAAAATAGCCGATTTAGTACTTTCAATATAGAGAAAGAATCTAATGATTCAATAGTTGCATGAGTTACAAACGAAATGATAAGATACATCATTGTTATATACTGGTTGTTATAAACATTGGTTTTGCATAAATACATTGAAATGGCAATCAATAAATTAAAAGCAAATTTGCCTAAATTAAAAACTCATTTTAAAAATAAATTTCTATAAATAAAAACCTTGATAAAAAGGTCATGGTTTATAAATGAGATTGCAATACAATCAACAGTAAAAAGACTTAAGCTAAATAAATAAAAAAATTATTGTAATTAAAAATATACTAGCAGTGTACAACAAATCTTGTACATTTAAATAAAAGATCTACTTCGTCTAGGATATATTTAGATAATATTGCTAAATAGCTTTCAACAAATTAAAACTTTTAGGATTTTAAAATTTAAATTATTTTTCCAAATTTAAGAACCTGTCTATAGCCCCCGTACTGAGCTGTTCATTAATATTAAAAATCATGTTTATTTCTTACAAACATTTAGAGAATAAAAAAAAGAAATAAAAACAATTCGTATGAAAAGAAATTACAGCCCACACAAACAATGACATCTATCTATATAATGAAAATAATAATTTTGTTTGTAATGCAATTTATAAATTTCCATAGAAAGCAAAAACAATGAAAAAATGAGAAAAAAAAATCCTAATGGCGAACAAAATGAACAACATCAACTAGTAACAACAACAAAAAGCAGTAAAAAGCACCAACAATGACAGCAACTGCTTGGTAAACAAACACAAACTAAAAGCTGCATCATCAGCAACAACTACCATCACCATTACAGTGACAATAACAACAACAATAATATTGTGCTTTTTGTTTGTTTTTGTTGTTGTTGTTGCATTTTAATGCATACCATAAAATCAAATAAAAACCCACGGAGAAACCAAGAACACACTTTCACAAACATGTTTTCACAAATATGTACATCAATTTGCCTACAAACACTTGTGTGCCGAAAAATAGTTGTGAACATAACAAATATTTTGAAGACTTATGAATGAAAATTTCAATTCCTTATAGACAACGTATTATTCTCTGTCTTTCCATTATATTGGTGTAGGGTTTGATAACAACAGCACCTATTTTTGTGTCCACATGTGTACAAGTGTTTATGCAAAATGTGAATAATTGCACAGCAGGGATATAAATTGCAAATTGTACCAATGGAAATATTTTGCTAGTTTACGAATTGTTTTTATTATTAAAAAAATAAATTAAGTTGAAAATTTTTCATATTTACAACAACAATTTTTGTTTTAAAACATACAAATTATAAAAATAATCTACAACTGAAATATTCCCAATTACTAACTTGGTACCACCTTTACTATTTTTAGATAAACCACCATAATTGTACCAACTGGTTCATCTCAGACCCACAAATTCAACAAAAATCTGTACCACACAGCGTATGATGAATATTTAAATCAATTATTGTTGTTGTAGCTGTTGTTGCTACTATTAACACTGCTGCTATTTATGATGTTAGCAGAGACCATCATAGCTTCAGCTTTTTTTACAGCAGTAACGAGATGTAATATTATTATCGTTATCGCTTTTATAGACGCCTTCGTTAACGTTCTTTTTTTTTGCGAAATAAATAAATTTGACCCATTTCTTCTTGTTCATAGAAGAGTATGTATTTTTAAATTCATTGAAAGACACTGGCTGAGAGAATCAATGTGTGTCAGTTACAATTATGGACGGATGAAGGGTGCAATGAGTTTAATGTGTGTTGAATAACGAGTAGTATGTTTGTGTGTATTTTTGAATGAATAATGAAGAATACCGCCACTAGACTGTGTGTAATTTGTTGTAATAGTGTTAGAGAATGTTGCACATTATAGAATTATATACTAGTTTATTCTTTGATGTACACTTGAAGTCTATAAAGATGTCAAAATTTAATATTGTTGCTCTGGTATAGTTTTTATTTCTTTTGCATTATTTGATGTTTTTATTGTCCATAATAAATAAGTTTAGTTAAATTTAGAGTTTTTGTTTCAAGGTTTTTGTAGGTTAAACATGTTAATGATATTAAAATAGAAATTTTACAAATTTTTACAGTATTTAAAAAAAATTTTATTTCATATTGTAAGAAAACCTATTTTAGAAACAGTGGAGTAGAGGAATTGTGTTGAAAACATTTCACCTTATCCCATCTTTGTCGGTGGTTATTAAACTTGATATTTAAAAAAAAATTAAACTCTGAACACTATTTTAAGACTGTAATACTCAAAATTCGTACTGTAATAATTACCTAAATATAAAATGTAGGCAGGACAAGGGGTCTACGAACGAACTAACGAACTAACTAACTAACTAACTAACGAACTAAAACTAACGAACAAGAACGAACGAACGAACGAACGAACGAACGAACGAACGAACGAACGAACGAACGAACGAACGAACGAACGAACGAACGAACGAACGAACGAAACGAACGAACGAAACGAACGAACGACGAAACGAACGAACGAACGAACGAACGACGAACGAACGAACGAACGAACGAACGAACGAACGAACGAACGAACGAACGAACGAACGAAAGAACGAACGAACGAACAACGAACGAACGAACGAACGAACGAAAGAACGAACGAACGAACGAACGAACGAACGAACGAACGAACGAACGAACGAACGAACGAACAACGAACGAAACAACGAACGAACGAACGAACGAACGAACAACGAACGAACGAACGAACGAACGAACGAACGAACGAACGAAACGAACGAACGAACGAACGAACGAACGAACGAACGAACTAACGAACGAACGAAACGAAGAACGAACGAACGAACGAACGAACGAACGAACGAACGAACGAACGAAAAACGAACGAACGAACGAACGAACGAACGAACGAACGAACGAACGAACGAACGAACGAACGAACGAACGAACGAACGAACGAACGAACGAACGAACGAACGAACGAACGAAGAACGAAAACGAACGAACGAACGAACAAAACGAACGAACGAAAACTAACGAACGAACGAACGACGAACGAACGAACGAACGAACGAACGAACAACGAAGAACGAACGAAACGAAACGAACGAACTAAGACGAACAACGAAGAACGAACGAACGAACGAACGAACTAACGAACGACAACGAACGAACGAACGAACGAACGAACTAACGAACTAACTAACTAACGAACGAACTAACTAACTAACGAACGAACGAAAACGAACTAACTAACGAACTAACGAACAAACTAACGAACTAACTAAACTAAAAAACTAACTAACTAACTAACTAACTAACTAACTAACTAACTAACTAACTAACTAACTAACTTACTAACTAACTTACTAACTAACTAAGTAACTAACTAACTAACTTGGGTCAAGAGCATATCCTTATTTTCATCAAATTATCCTAAAAATTATATGGACAGACAGATGGACGAACGGAACTAGTTTAATAGCCTCAGAAAGATCCAATATTTTTGGGTGTTACAAATAACAGCACAAACGCATTATACTCACCCCGCTTTACTTGTGTAGGGTATAACTACATGTTGGGTATAACTAGATCCCCGTATATGTTTCTATTTGCTACCCACAATGAGTGAATCATTGCTTTTCGCTCAACTTGTGGTTGTTTAGCATAACATTCACTAGTGAGTACTATCAAGTGACTGTTCCACCATATTCAAATCGAGTGAGTAAACAATTTGTTTATATTAAGTTAAGTTCGGAAATTGAATACTTTAAAAATTTTTAAAAACTGAAAATTTTTGAAAATTCGAAGTCATGTTCAAAATAATTTTAAGCTAATAACATTAGTTTTCGTTGACCAAAGTAAATTTGACAGTTAAGTTAAGTTTGAAAGTTAAGTACAGATGATTTATTTTTTAAGTCTCTCATGCAGTACACATAAAAGTAAATATAAATTCAGATCAGATTAGTACACTACTGAATTTGCATTTCTATACAACTTAATTTGAATTTAAAGTAAATGAAATATTAAATGATTTCAAACAATTTGAAATGATTTCTTTCAAACAATATTTTTATAGAAAACGAAGAATTTCAAATGTGTATGCAATAAATTTATATATCGGTGGTCACATGTTGACACTTCGTACTTGAATATTTTTGTCAATATTAGATAATAATGCCAATAGCTAGACATCCCTAACAAACAAATTTCCTTTGGCAACAATATCTCATGTTAAATAGAGTCAATTGCTTGTTATCTACATCTACAAATTTGAAGTGTTTTCGTTTGGAAAGACTCGTTTTACATATTTTTGATTTTCTTTAAAATCGAAATATAATTATATATTTAGAACTAATGTTTTATAGTTACACACATACATACATACATATTTAATTTTGTAAAAATATGTCATTTGTAAATTATAGACATACAAATTCGTAACTGCTGACGTTTATCACTTGTAGTTTCTTATTTCTAGTTCAATTTTAGTTTTTGTCCTTTATAACAAATTTATTTTCAATCATACCCGAGAATTTGCTACATAAAAGCAAAAGCAACAACAAAAACAAGCAACTGAAAATTATGAAAAACAAAAAGTGCATAATCGTATAAAAAGCAAACAGATACAAAGTTTCCGTTTATCTATTCATCCAAACAGTTTGTTTCTATTTGTAACAGAGAATTTGCTGTTGTATTTAGTTCTTTCTGTGTTTGTATTTCAAAATTCTTTTAGTTTTATTCATTACATTTTATTCGTGTGATTGTATAGCAGCAATCGTCGTCTGTGTCTGTCTGTCTGTCGGTGTGTGTGTATGTTTGTTGCAAACACTTAATGCAAATGTCATGTAATTTGGTCAAATACAGATAACCTCGTAAAAAAAAAAGTTTTATATATTTTTCTTTCATACTTTTTTAATCTCCTAAGGATTTAGGAAGTAAACCACCACTTTTGTCACCATTAATTTAAGAATTAAAAAAACAAAAATTTGAATAGATTTAAGACAGGAAATAAAATCTCTGCCAACAGGAAACCAAGTCTATTTTTTTGTTTGCTATGGGGGAAGTATGAAAATGGTGTCATAAACTAAATTGTTTTCTTGCCACATACAATTATAAGATTATATAAATCTTTATTTCCATAGAATTATTTTAAAGGAATTACAACAACTTTGTTGTTTTTTTATTTAACTTTTGTAAATTATTTATTTTCATTATTTTACTTTCCTTACAGGCAAAACTTTTCTTTATTTTTTTCTTGTTTCATAAACTTTCAATTTCAATTGCATTCACTTTCACTTAAATTTTAATACATTTTTTTTTATTCATGATCTTTTTTACATATATTTTTGTGTGCTTGTTCTCTTTTTTACATTTTTTTTTTAACTTGAAAATCTTTACGGTTTATATGTGTATTTTTGTTGTTCAATCTTCAATAGTTTTCGTACATGTTTTGCGTTCCAACTAATCTAGACGTGCTTTACTGTCAACCGTTTCTAACCAACAAAAAAGCTTTGTCATTCCTTTATGTTTCGGAGTCTGAGAATTGTGTTTCGTTTTTTTCTACATTTAGGATGCTGTGTGAGAGCCGTGAGTTGTGTTAGAGCTTAAGATAGGTTTTGTATTTGACATTATATGCGCATATTTTGACATATTTTACGCATTTTTTTCTCTTCAATTGAGTATGATTTCTTAGTTTTTTACAATTATATTTTGACATTTGTAGCAGTGAGGAAAGATGATGGAAGCTGGCTTCCATCTGGAAATAACATTGTTTGTTACAGTAACAGCAATAACATCTAGCTAGGGAGCTTTTATGGAAATACGTGCCTTCAGTTTGCGTTTAGCCGTTAGGTTTGAAATTTATTTTTGGAATTTTGAAATTTCTGATATCTCCAATTTGCATCTAAAGGGGTAAAATCCATGTCTTCGGTTATATTTCAAAAATATATTTAATTTCGTAGACACAATGTTTATCAAATAAAAGGTCTTTAGAATATTCTAAAATATCATCTATTCAATATTCTGTACAAATCAATCTAGATGTACGTTTCGAAAAGCTAAATTTGGATGATATATTTAAAGCCCTACCGACCATATGATACCCTACAACAGTGAATATGTTAAAAATGTGAATCATATTTTTAACAATAATATGATTCACATTTTTAACATAGTGTTAGTCCTACTATGACACATTGGCTTTATAAAAGTGTAATAATACCAATTCTAACATATGCTTCAATAATCTGGTGGACTTCTTTGGACAAAAAGTGTAATCTCAAACTACTACAGGGAGTTCAGCTTACTTGCTGCTTTAGTGTATGTGATGCCATGAATACTGCGTCAACCAAGGCTCAGCAATCGTTACTAGATATTCCACCCATTAAAATGACTCATAACTTTAGACAAACTGGCCAAACTGGCGGTTATAAGAAACGACATTAATGTATACTGGAAACAAATATATCAGACACAGTATATGTCGGAAAATTTGAAACGCTGATCCCAGATAGAATGTCTTGTTCAAGCGGAACATTAGAACAGATACCCGTAAAAATCCGTTGCTATATGGATGGTTTTAAATTGGGGGACAAAGTGGGCTTTGGTGCTATATTGAAGACCCAGAAACAGAATTCTTAGCAATAATGGAATAACATATTAACCGACAACCAGAAGGCAATTAGAACGATATCAGGTGAAAAGTTTAACTGAATACTCTCCTAGAGATAAGGTTTACATCATATGGGTACCAAGCAAATCGGGAGTAGTCGGCAACGAAATGGCCATTCCATTAACTATAAATGGAAGGGAGCTCGAGGTAGTAAAGCTGACAAACACAACGCAACAAAGGCTGAATTAACAAGTTTGAGTGCTAAATTCGGCTATGCCGAATCCAGCACTCTACATTTTATTAAAACCCATATAACTATCTAGTTTTTAGATAACTCGGCATAAGTTTTGTTTCCGTAGTAACGATACTATCATTTAATAATTTCTTTATGCATATATTTGTTTAGGTAGAAAAAAAAAATATTTTAAGTGGTTTCGGATATGGACGTTGGCCTTATATGGGAGCTACGAGCTACGAATATTCTCATGTCGAATTCTATCTGGATATAATCATTTAATAATGAATTATGTGGTATTAAGTGATTTTCAGAAGTGAACCTTATATGAGAGCTATGATTATTTATGGACCTACTGATTTATATATATATACAAAACATATTCAAGTTGAATTTTATCCCGATATCTGTTTTTGTCAATGAAATTGTGCATTTAATTTATTTCCGAAAGTGGACCTTATATGGGAGCTATGACCAATTATGGACCGATTCGGAAAAAATTTGTAGTGTGATTTATACATACATAAAACATATTCATGTCGAATTTTATCTCGATTTATCAGTGAAATATGCGCGTTTGAGTGGTTTTCGGAAGTGGGCCTTATATGGGAGCTATGACCAATTGTAGACCGATACAAATCTACATTTGTATTATGATTTCTGTTCATATTTTATTTATATATGCAAAACTTTCTGTGGATATCGATATATTTGAGGAAGTTATTAACGATAAATCCATTTCCGGAAATATGTTCCTTTGTATGGGGGCTATGGGAAATTTTAGATCGATTCTTTTAATTTTCAATATAAATAATCATCGAATTATCTTTTGTTGTTTCTGAGAAAACGACTTAAAAATTACGAAAAAAAAAGTATTTTTATTCGAGGAAGTCTGAAATTTTTATGAAATTTGTGAACCGATTTTGCTGATTTTCAATACCATACTGCTTAGGACAACAATGAATATTTTTGGTGAATTTGGTTTATATCTTTTGCTTAGGTTTAACGTGAGCGTGTTTTAGACAGACAGACAGACGGACTGACAGACGGACATAGCTACATCGACTCAAAATTTGATAAGGGCCCAGAAAATATATATACTTTGTTGGGTCTCAGATGAATATTTTTTGGTGTTACACACGGAATGAAAAACTTATATATACCCTCTATCACCACTGATGGTGGTGGAGGGTATAAAAATATAGGTGAGAGAATCCCATAAGGCCTCTTGGAATAATGAATGAGATATTCCAAAAAATGAGGAAGTCTGAGGATAGTATGATGCTACGTACTCTGAGTGAATACAGCTATACAGAATTGGACGTGCGTATTTAGATGAATATAGAGTATGTGAAGAGGAAAGTGAAACTCTAGAGCACTATCTTTTTCCGGATATAACATTCCTCACGAACACTGATTGGAATTGCGTCCAGGTTACGGTTGTATTAGAGCTAGGCAAAATAATAGGCTGATTTTAACCAATAGGGATGAAAAGAAGTGTATATGCCAAATTTCATCAAATTATCTTGAAAATTGCGATCTGTAGCGTGCGCACAAAGTTAACAGGAACACAGACCGACTGACATAGCTCAGTCGACTCAGAAACTCGATTTTACCCTTATATCCCTGTAGGATATAAGAACTTTCGTTTATATCTACACTACTACTACACTACTGATTTGTGCTGGAACTAAAACATTGTTCCCACATCCATCTTAAAGTTTATTGATCAACTTAAAATCAACATATTTTGTATATTTATATCTCGAATATTACTGTTCAATGTTTATATCAAAAGATAGACATTCCAAGACCTTTCATGTTGATGTACGTTTTAATTAAATAGCTAACACAAGATCGCGTAGAAAATAAGTTTTGAAAAATTATAATAAAATACTATTTAGATAGAATTTTGAAAAACAGAAAAAATTTTAATAATTTAAATTATTTCGAAAAATTTTATGTAGAAAAAAGAAAAATTAAAAAATTTTAATAGTTTTTTGATAGCACATAAATGTTTGATATGCCATTTAAAGCGCTTTCCATATGATAGCAAAAATTACGTATATTTTCTTTGTAAGAAATATGGTAAAAATCATAAAAACCACCAAAAAGGACCTTTTTATTCCTTGATTAAATTCATCATATACTATCCTTTTAAAAAATTGGCCTTAATCATGCTGCCGATTTTCCATGAATCTAACAATCTTATATATCTTCTATGAGATGCCCTGGCAAAAAATGTACAAGAACTTTTTTCACGGCATTTTATATAAAGCATAATAATAGGCAAAAAATTTGTTTATTTTAGTAAATGCATCACAAATCTCATTGTTTGTATTAAAATACATAGTCTAATAACTTCTTTCGGTTCATTACTCTAACAGTCAATAGCAATAAATCCTTGTTTAATATTTCCGGGGAAAATATTAACAAATATTTGTATACCAAATTCATAAACTTACCATCTTTATTTGACTAATGTCAAGGTGGAAATTTCTACTATAACGTATTTTTTTCTCTATGTAAATATTATGGCACAACTAACAAAGATACACAATTTTTTTTGCTGCAAATAAAGGTGTCAAGTTGGCAATGTTGAGATAACCTATAAGACTTACAATTTACAAGTGTATTTGACATTCATATGTCTGTCTGATTAGGATAAACAATCAAAAAAGAGTTAGTTAAATACTTGTTAACAAAGACTTATTTATTTATGATATTCTTTTTTTTTTCCTTTTTTTGTTTTTGTTAGTACATAACAACAATAGCAATAAACAATGGATTAATACGAGTAACAAAAGCATAAAATTTGGATTATTTGTTTGTGTCTTTGAGGGTGTATGTATGTGTGAGAGTGTGTTTACATTCGGTTATGCATAAATTCATTTGCATACATACATATCGCTCATTTACTACAAGACTGTCATAATCCAACATTTGGGTTTTTGGACTGAATACTAGAAAATATATGTAATATTCAAGTCTTTCAAATAGTTTTGTCTTTTATTTTCGGTGTGCGAATGACTACACCCTACACCACCATAGTGGGGAGAGTAGTTTAAGTTCAGATGAGCACCTACTTTATATATCAGGTTTTATTTTTGAAATCCGGCGATCTGTTTGAAAGTTATTTAATAAATAATAAAATGTTATAAAACTATTATCCCCTTATTCACAAACAAATATTTTATTATATAAACGGTTTATAAATTAGATTTTGTATGGAAATTTTGTTTTATAAACCTTTTATAAAATAAAAATTTTGTTTGTGAATAAAGGGGTTAATGTTGATTTACTCAAAAAGCTACTTTTTGATTATACCGGTTTTGTAGTAAATGAGCGATATGCATTTCAGCAAGAATGCTTTTTATGACTTGTTTGTGTTTATTGTTAGTTATGGCAGCAATAATTTCACTTTTTTAACCTTTAGGCCAAGAAAAATCTTTCTTAAACATACCATAGGCCAACCAGTATAAGAGATTGAAGAGAGCAAATGACATGGGAAAGGCAATGCGTGATATGCGATCGATTAAAGAGACACTATTTACATAGCGCGGCCCTAGAAATATAAATAAAAGAATAATTTATATATTGTTCAATTCAGATATCTTCATTCTTACCTTTTTTATTAGCAGCTGCCTCACGTTCACGTTCCTTACGAAATTTCACATCCCCTATAAAACACAACCACACTTGTTTCGCTTTCGATATAACTGGTGCATCTGTTTGTGTTGTTCTCTCCATGGTAGAAGCATGCGAAGAGGGACATTGGAAAATGTGGGTAGGATCATCATCGTATATGGGACAAATCATGGCATTACGTTTACGAAATCCACCTGGTAAGTTTTGAGCATATTCGGAATTCTGTGAGAGTTCTGCTGCCAATGATTCATTACTCTCTCGCATAGAGGGTAATTCGGGCTCAACATCATCATAATCTAATTGTTCTTCTTCCATATCCTCCCATTCATCTTCACTAATGGCGGGTATTTCACCACTTCCCACCTTTGTGAAATAATGTACCCCAGCAAATTCCAGTAAGGTGGCAATACAATAAAGAAAACACATAAGCAGAAACCAATCGAGAGCGGTGGCATATTTTACTTTTGGCAAATCGATGCGTGAATCTAAACTGATAGTTGATAGGGTTAAAACGGCTGTTACACACAAACCGACACGATCACTGGTAGCTTCACGATGTATCCAGAAGGAGACCCATGAGAGGACGACAATCAGTATGCAAGGTACATAAACCTAAAATGATGATTATATATTAAATATATGTAAAGATTTAAACACGATTTGAAACAAAGTGCGAAAATAATAAGTAAATTTATTCGTTATATCCAATGTTGTTCCAATTAAAAAAAAAAAAAAAAATTATATTCCTCGCGAGACAGATCCTTAGATATTTTATATAAATATTTAAAAGTGTATTTTATGGTTACCGGTTGTCAACTTTTGTCATGGGTTAACATAAAACACATGAGTGATATCAATGTTCAAAGATCAAAAATATTCACTTATATAGTTTCCTGCGAAAATTTGATTAACATTTTAGTTAATGAGAATTTAAAACTGGACGGTTGCAAGAAGTGCTCTAGAATAGTTAAAGATAATCCAAACTTCTCTCCATACCTGTATCAAAAAATACCCCGTATGCCTTTTAAGATTAAACGCTACATGTAAAGTTGAAAATTCACCCTCTCGTCTGGCATAAGTTAAGTTACGACTTCTCATGCTTATCAAATCAAACTGATTTAAAGTCATGCCGGGTACAAAGGAAACAGCCTCATCACCACCCTTCCATTCATAAACCAACTGGCGACTAGTGTAACCATCTGTAATTATACATAAAACATAAGTATTTTTATTGTTCCTGGTTGGCTAACAAGTAGAGATAGATAGTTTAATGTTTACTCCAAAAATTTACTCACAACTACCAATAATTAGGGGGCATGATTGATGATCCATAGGAAAATTGATTAATTCCATGGGACAGGTGGCCTTAATGGTTAAACTGAAATGTAGCAATAGTTCAAAATTAAATGTTAGAAATTCAAAATAAAGTTTTAATTTTCATTTACCGCATGGAGTATAATATTCCACCATCTTGATCTAAACGCAATAATTTATTGGGCACCGTTATGGTATGTATATGAGAATGTTTACCATTGTAGAAGTAAGTGTCGGGACGCCAAATTTTATCCAGCATCTAAGTATTTATTATCGAAAGTAGGAAAATTAAAGAAAATTCCTTTGAACAGAAATTAATATCATCAGTTCTAGTTCAGTTCTAGTTCAGTTCTAGTTCAGTTCTAGTTCAGTTCTAGTTCAGTTCTAGTTCAGTTCTAGTTCAGTTCTAGTTCAGTTCTAGTTCAGTTCTAGTTCAGTTCTAGTTCAGTTCTAGTTCAGTTCTACTTCAGTTCTAGTTCAGTTCTAGTTCAGTTCTAGTTCAGTTCTAGTTCAGTTCTAGTTCAGTTCTAGTTCAGTTCTAGTTTAGTTCTAGTTCAGTTCTAGTTCAGTTCTAGTTCAGTTCTAGTTCTGTTCTAGTTCAGTTCTAGTTCAGTTCTAGTTCAGTTCTAGTTCTAGTTCAGTTCTAGTTCAGTTCTAGTTCAGTTAGTTCAGTTCAGTTCTAGTTCAGTTCTAGTTCAGTTCTAGTTCAGTTCTAGTTCAGTTCTAGTTCAGTTCTCAGTTCAGTTCTAGTTCAGTTCTAGTTCAGTTCTAGTTCAGTTCAGTTCTAGTTCAGTTCTAGTTCAGTTCTAGTTCAGTTCTAGTTCAGTTCTAGTTCAGTTCTAGTTCAGTTCTAGTTCAGTTCTAGTCGTTCTAGTTCAGTTCTAGTTCAGTTCTAGTTCAGTTCTAGTTCAGTTCTAGTTCAGTTCTAGTTCAGTTCTAGTTCAGTTCTAGTTCAGTTCTAGTTCAGTTCTAGTTCAGTTCTAGTTCAGTTCTAGTTCAGTTCTAGTTCAGTTCTAGTTCAGTTCTAGTTCAGTTCTAGTTCAGTTCTAGTTCAGTTCTAGTTCAGTTCTAGTTCAGTTCTAGTTCAGTTCTAGTTCAGTTCTAGTTCAGTTCTAGTTCAGTTCTAGTTCAGTTCTAGTTCAGTTCTAGTTCAGTTCTAGTTCAGTTCTAGTTCAGTTCTAGTTCAGTTCTAGTTCAGTTCTAGTTCAGTTCTAGTTCAGTTCTAGTTCAGTTCTAGTTCAGTTCTAGTTCAGTTCTAGTTCAGTTCTAGTTCAGTTCTAGTTCAGTTCTAGTTCAGTTCTAGTTCAGTTCTAGTTCAGTTCTAGTTCAGTTCTAGTTCAGTTCTAGTTCAGTTCTAGTTCAGTTCTAGTTCAGTTCTAGTTCAGTTCTAGTTCAGTTCTAGTTCAGTTCTAGTTCAGTTCTAGTTCAGTTCTAGTTCAGTTCTAGTTCAGTTCTAGTTCAGTTCTAGTTCAGTTCTAGTTCAGTTCTAGTTCAGTTCTAGTTCAGTTCTTTCAGTTCTAGTTCAGTTCTAGTTCAGTTCTAGTTCAGTTCTAGTTCAGTTCTAGTTCAGTTCTAGTTCAGTTCTAGTTCAGTTCTAGTTCAGTTCTAGTTCAGTTCTAGTTCAGTTCTAGTTCAGTTCTAGTTCAGTTCTAGTTCAGTTCTAGTTCAGTTCTAGTTCAGTTCTAGTTCAGTTCTAGTTCAGTTCTAGTTCAGTTCTAGTTCAGTTCTAGTTCAGTTCTAGTTCAGTTCTAGTTCAGTTCTAGTTGAGTTCTAGTTCAGTTCTAGTTCAGTTCTAGTTCAGTTCTAGTTCAGTTCTAGTTCAGTTCTAGTTCAGTTCTAGTTCAGTTCTAGTTCAGTTCTAGTTCAGTTCTAGTTCAGTTCTAGTAAAGTGTAGAAATGGCTTTGGATCCTTATCTTGTTGAAATTTGCATTCTAGTGGCCAAATTAATATTTTTATGATCAATTGCAATAACTTACTTTTATGCTTAATGACAAACTCTTAATGGGACCTTGAAAACTTAAACGTTTGTCTCTCCAATATTGACGAAAATAACAATCCATTGAATAGTCCATATCTAGTTCTGAGACTGGACCCATGCTGCGTATTAAAATGTTGGTGCGAACAACAGTGGGAATACCTTAAAATAAATCATAAAACATTTCTTTAAACTATTCTCAATTTTAGATTTTACCAAACTCACCTTGACCATGTGTTGGCAACTGCGATTGCTCATAACTTTTCAAAAGATTTTCCAATATAATAGATATATTACGACTCAACATATCAGCCGAGGCTGTACGTTTACGCATAATGGTGGGATCGTTAGTAATATTATATAGATTTGGTGTGAAAGGTGTTACTTCTGGTGTGGATGATGCTGAGGTATAGTCATCAAATCTTTTTGAACGAAATCGATGTCTGTTATCTGTTGTGATCGTAAAAGATTCATAAATACGCGAAGCTTTAAAATCTGAATTAATTTTTGGTGTTAGAATTCTTTGAGGTGGATCTCTGGAGCTAGAGAAAAAAGTAGAAAATAAATCGTAACATATTTTTTTTAAAAAAACATTATAGTTCATATAATATCTGTTAAAGTCTATCATATATGTAGTCATACTATAATTTCTTTCTTGTTTGACATAATGATCAACAGCTTTTAACCATTGTAACCCTCCATTTACTACTAACCTATTTGTTGGATTGTCTTCAAATGTTTGTATTGTGGCATTTTTAGACCAATCATTATCCAATGTGTCCCAAGATGTCATGGGAATTCCTTGACAATGAAGTTTCAATATTCCAAACAATAACATAAGACTGTAAAGAGAACGGAAAAGGAAGTCTAAAGATAACGAGTTTGCATTTTATAGTTAATTACTTAAATTAGGTTTCATTTTTAAATGAATGTCCCTGGCAAAAGAAAAAACTGCTTAAATCACAAAATCTAATTTATAACCTGACAACTTGCTTTTAGTAAAAGAATACATTCACTTTTGCGAATGTTGTACATGACCACAGATTCAATATCATAAACATAATAGTATTTGTATGTGACATACTCACAGAGAAACATTAATACATTTGAGGTTAGTAAACTAGGTGCGATTTTAATAATGTAAGTTTGAAATTTTTACAAGCTTAGAAGAATAATATGCAATGTTTAGTAGTAACGCAATATAATTACATAAATATGTTTAAAAACTTGAAGTTTGAATTCGAAAAGACTTAAACTTCTGTACTTCTATCTGTGTGCTATATCCTGAGGTAAGTAAGTTAGTAAGTTTGTAGTAAGTAAGTAAGTTTGTAAGTTAGTAAGTTAGTAAGTTAGAAAGTTAGTAAGTTAGTAAGTTAGTAAGTTATTAAGTTATTAAGTTAGTAAGTTAGAAAGTTAGTAAGTTAGTAAGTTAGAAAGTTAGTAAGTTAGTAAGTTAGTGAGTTGGTAAGTTAGTAAGTTATTAAGTTAGTAATTTTGTAATTTAGTAATTTAGTAAGTTAGTAAGTTAGTAATTTAGTAAGTTAGTAAGTTAGTAAGTTAGAAAGTTAGTAAGTTAGTAAGTTAGTAAGTTAGTAAGTTAGTAAGTTACTAAGTTACTAAGTTAGTTAGTAAATTAGTAAGTTAGCAAGTTAGTAAGTTTGTTTGTTAAGATCCTTATTGAAGAAAATGTTCACTGTTTTTCTTTAAAATATAAATAATGTACACTCCTGCTTTTCTGACCACCTGTGTACATGCACATACACTAAATTAAACATCTACAAATATACATAGATACCGATAGACATGTATTGGTGTCAATTCTTATTTTTTCAACTAAAAGACTTGATCTCGTTTATCGTCATTACAAACACTTTTTAACAATCAGCACAAATAAAGAAAAAGAGTCACATCGAAATCGAAAGAAAAAACACTGTAAGTGAAAATCTTTTAAGTAGAAAAACGACTCAATATCATATAAGAAAAAACTGAAAAGAAAAGAAGAACAAGTGCAAAAATGAAACTTAAAAGTCTCAAGAGACTCGTAAAATTTTTGGTAGTTGAAAATGTGCAATCTATTAACAACAACTACTACAAAACTTGCCTAATTTCATCGTAACCCACTCGAAATGTCGAAGAGAAGTAACGTTTTTTTTATTGTTCTTTGAAATACAATGTTCAAGCTTATTTGTACTTTAAGAGCAACTGGCTTATTATTAGGACTAACAGCAATGTTTAAAATTTGGTGCATTACTTTTCTAAATAAATACTTATGTATATGTAGTTAATGAAACTTTGATACCTTATAGTTACCGTGTAGTGAAATATGTTAGAAACATGTCAATAATGTTCACCATTATAGAAAAGTTGATTTCATGCTCGCTAAAATAATGTTAAATAGGAGGTGTCAAGCTTTCACCATTACTTTATATTTTAAATTTTCTTATATGAAGTTTTCAAAATTTTAGTTTCCTAAATTTACTTAATGGTCAAATATGAACCTTTTTTCATATGCTCCACCTGTTTTGTGCTAGTTTTATCTAGTTGTATGTAAAAAAATTTACTTTCGTTTTTTGTTAAATTTTAAATTGCAAGTAAGTGTTCTTTTTTTTTGTTTTGTTAGTTTTTCTAAATTGCTATTATACTATTTATTATGAATAGAAGAAGAAACAGCGATGAAAAAAAAATTATTCATAGAAATTATAACAATCTTTCACTCGGAGGCCATGAGACATTGTTGCGTTTTCTTTTCATGCGGTGTTATTAAATACTTGACAAAACTATTTCATACAATGATACAAAAAAAAAAAAAAAAAATATTTATAAAATATATATAGACAAAAGGGAGCATTTAAAATGGCAGGATATTCAACACTTTCTGGAAGGAATTTTTTGTTGCAATTGTTTTGGCCGCAAAATATAAGAATTTATGATTTGTTGTGATTTTTTGTGTTATTAAGAATTTGAAGCATTCTTTAAAATAGAAAATTTTACAATTCACTTTTTTCTATAAAATCTCCATTAGATCGTTATTTTTACTTTCTCTTTTCTTGCTAAAAAATGAGCGATACCTCGAAAACATCAAAATGAAGTGTGTAGTGAACTCGTACTAAAATTTAAGCCGTTTAGTTTTGTGCGAGAAAGGGTTAATGCACTATAGTAGATTTTAGTTATACTCTAGTAGAGAGTATACGCTAGTAGAGAGGGTATTATGCATTTGTGCTAATAATTGTAACAGCCAAAATTATTGGTCATACACCATCCTTAAAGTATACCAATTGGATCAGAATCACTCGAAGGACGGTTCAAAAATCGGCAAAACTTAGTTTTATATAAGGCTGATACTGCCGATTTTCGTAATGATCGGTCCTCATTTGAACCTATCCCCGCTACAAAGTCACTTCAGAAAATGACGATGGTCAAAATTCAATTATAAACACTATTATAAACATATTACGATGATATTCTGCATAAACAAGTAATGTAGAAGAAATTAAATACTTCATTATTAAAAAATAACCAACATTTTTAACATAATCAGTGGAGTAGGTTGTTAGTTAGTTAGTTAGTTAGTCAGTTAATTATAGTTAGTTAGTTAGTTAGTTAGTTAGTTAGTTAGTTAGTTAGTTAGTTAGTTAGTTAAGTTAGTTAGTAGTTAGTTAGTAGTAGTTAGTTAGTTAGTTAGTTAGTTAGTTAGTTAGTTAGTTAGTTAGTTAGTAGTTAGTTAGTTAGTTAGTTAGTAGTAGTTAGTTAGTTAGTTAGTTAGTTAGTAGTTAGTTAGTTAGTTAGTTAGTTAGTAGTAGTTAGTAGTTAGTTATAGTTAGTTAGTTAGTTAGTTAGTTAGTTAGTTAGTTAGTTAGTTGTAGTAGTTAGTTAGTTAGTTAGTTAGTTAGTAGTTAGTTAGTTAGTTAGTTAGTTAGTTAGTTAGTTAGTTAGTTAGTTAGTTAGTTAGAGTAGTTAGTTAGTTAGTTAGTAGTAGTTAGTTAGTTAGTTAGTTAGTTAGTTAGTTAGTAGTTAGTTAGTTAGTAGTTAGTAGTTAGTTAGTTAGTAGTAGTTAGTTAGTTAGTTAGTAGTTAGTTAGTAGTTAGTTAGTTAGTTAGTTAGTTAGTAGTTAGTTAGTTAGTTAGTTAGGAGTTAGTTAGTTAGTAGTTAGTTAGTTAGTTAGTTAGTTAGTTAGTTAGTTAGTAGTTTTAGTTAGTTAGTTAGTTAGTTAGTTAGTTAGTTAGTTAGTTAGTTAGTTAGTAGTAGTTAGTTAGTTAGTTAGTTAGTAGTTAGTTAGTTAGTTAGTTAGTTAGTTAGTTAGTTAGTAGTAGTTAGTTAGTTAGTAGTTAGTTAGTTAGTTAGTTAGTTAGTAGTAGTTAGTTAGTAGTTAGTTAGTTAGTTAGTTAGTTAGTTAGTAGTTAGTTAGTTAGTAGTTAGTTAGTTAGTTAGTTAGTTAGTAGTTAGTAGTTAGTTAGTTAGTTAGTTAGTTAGTAGTAGTTAGTTAGTTAGTTAGTTAGTTAGTTAGTTAGTTAGTTAGTTAGTAGTAGTAGTTAGTTAGTTAGTTAGTTAGTTAGTTAGTAGTAGTAGTTAGTTAGTTAGTAGTTAGTTAGTTAGTTAGTTAGTTAGTTAGGTAGTAGTTAGTTAGTAGTTAGTTAGTTAGTTAGTTAGTTAGTTAGTTAGTTAGTTAGTTAGTTAGTAGTTAGTAGTTAGTTAGTTAGTTAGTTAGTTAGTTAGTTAGTTAGTAGTTAGTTAGTTAGTTAGTTAGTTAGTTAGTAGTTAGTTAGTTAGTTAGTTAGTTAGTAGTTAGTTAGTAGTTAGTTAGTTAGTTAGTTAGTAGTTAGTAGTTAGTTAGTTAGTTAGTAGTTAGTTAGTTAGTTAGTTAGTAGTTAGTTAGTTAGTTAGTTAGTTAGTTAGTTAGTAGTTAGTTAGTAGTTAGTTAGTTAGTTAGTTAGTTAGTTAGTTAGTTAGTTAGTTAGTTAGTTAGTTAGTTAGTTAGTTAGTTAGTTAGTTAGTTAGTAGTTAGTTAGTTAGTAGTTAGTTAGTAGTTAGTTAGTTAGTTAGTTAGTAGTTAGTTAGTTAGTTAGTAGTTAGTTAGTTAGTAGTTAGTTAGTTAGTTAGTTAGTAGTAGTTAGTAGTTAGTTAGTTAGTTAGTTAGTTAGTTAGTTAGTTAGTTAGTTAGTTAGTTAGTTAGTTAGTTAGTAGTTAGTTAGTTAGTTACTAGTTAGTTAGTTAGTAGTTAGTTAGTTAGTTAGTTAGTAGTTAGTTAGTTAGTTAGTTAGTTAGTTAGTAGTTAGTTAGTTAGTTAGTTAGTTAGTTAGTAGTTAGTTAGTTAGTTAGTTAGTTATTTAGTTAGTTAGTTAGTTAGTTAGTTAGTTAGTTAGTTAGTTAGTTAGTTAGTTAGTTAGTAGTTAGTTAGTAGTTAGTTAGGTTAGGTTAGTTAGTTAGTTAGTTCGTAGTTAGTTAGTTAGTTAGTAGTTAGTTAGTTAGTTAGTTAGTTAGTTAGTTAGTTAGTCACAGATAGTAACAGATAGTAACAGATAGTAACAGACATTACTTTTACACATTAAAGTTACGTATACGCATCAACATTATTTTCCCCTCATTGTTCTTTTTCCTAAAATAATCAAGTATACGACCCATTAACCACGAATTTAACTTTCAAACACTACACACTCTTTAAACTTTTACATAAATATGTAAAAACTACATACCTATGAGCATGTAATTTATGAAATAAAAAATATTTCTACTTCAATAGAGTTTGAACAAGAGTAAATACTTGAACATTAAAATAAAGTATATAAATCAACCTTCTTGAAAGATATTCCACTTTCCAGAAAGTGAAAACAATGAAGTATAATTT